GGCGTGGGCACGGGCACAGCTGCCCCCGTGGGCCAGGCCCGCGTGTGTAATGGTAGCGGCCTCACTTTCTTACCGTGGGTACCAAACTGAGGTCGCTAAACGATTGGGGTCTTTATGCGTGGCTCGGAGCATTACTAATTTTAGAATATTGCTCTCCGACAAGAAGACGATGATGTTTAACGAGCTGTTGCTTTTTACAGTCTCGAAGATATGATTCCAGAACTACCATATTTTCTCCAGAAGGTATTTTTTAACCCCACACTTTCAAGTAAACTCTTGTTTATCTGTTTATCTGGTTCTATCCGGCTTCTCAAAACTAAATAACAAACTACTTGTACAAAGGTTGTTTGTTTATAGCGTGTTTTCGTCCATATATGAGTTGCAAAAATCATATATACCCGCTAGAAGTAGCACCCAGTTCTGTAAGGACACGAAGGGTCCAACGTGGAGGCATCCAAATTCATTCTAATTCAATCAATAATGACACCATGCCCCATTAGCAAGTAATACCACCTGCCACATTTTTTAAATAGCTTGAGCAAATCTTCACTATTCATATTTTGTTTGAGCATGGATGGATTTTGTTACTGTTCCCCCTCCCGTCCCCTGAGAACGCATAATATCCTGCTGGTACAATCACACCTCTCCTTGTTATTCTTACGCATGCTGAAACAAGTACGTACAAGCCGTGCTTTCCTATTTCTTAGATGGGATGGACTCCAAAAGTCTAGTATCAAGTATTTTCTTTGATTATTGACAGTCTATTTTGGCTCATTCTACTGCAGCAGAGAGTTCTGTAGATTTTTTTTTTTTTTGGTAAAAGTTTTTTTTTTTTTTTTCCCCATATTGGCGATGCCCTGTATTACCTTATCAGATTCGTGCATTTTCCTTCTCTGACTCCTTCCTCCTTTTCAACCAACTCATTTACTATCAACTGCATAGACTGAAGAACTAAGACTAGGTGGTGCAATGAGCATCTGTCAGATTCTTGCAAATTGAAGTCACCTTGTGTACTTGGTCTTGTTCAGTGTTACTTTTTTGATGTTACTGATTTAAATCCTTTCCTAGGTCGCTTGTACCAGGTTGAATATGCAATGGAAGCAATTGGACATGCAGGTACTTGCTTGGGAATTCTAGCAAATGATGGTGTTTTGCTAGCAGCAGAGAGGCGCAACATTCACAAGCTTCTTGATGAGGTGTTTTTCTCGGAGAAAATATACAAACTTAATGAGTAAGTTGAAATGGTGATCAGATGTCCAGTGACGTTATCAGTAACAAAACACTGCCGTTATTCAGACATTTTAGCATTGAATCTGGTTTTATTTGATCTGAAGTGTTAGTATTCTTTTGTTCGGTGTTTTAGACAGGTATGACTATTTTGTTATTGTTTGCTTCAGTAGTTCTCCTTCTAAAGTAGAAGCATTGCTTTTTTTCTAATCTCTAGGAGAATTTTCTAGGTGGAATAGTCTGTTTGTTGGTACTTCCCCATACAAGGTAATGTTACTGCAGCACTTAAGAAAATTGTGAATTTTCAGTTTTACAAAATACCATTTGTGGGGGCGGGGCGGGCAGAATAAAGAATGCACACAAAAATCACCATGCTATTTCAGCATCTAGGGCTTTGGTTTTCTTTTGTGATTCAAAGAGAACAAGATAATTATGTAAAACACACCTTAGATTTCTTTGCCACAGTTGTAGCAGA